TGGTTAAAGCGTTCGCTCGTCACGCCGAAGACCCTGGTTCGATTCCCCACATGGTACAATGTGTGAATCTATGGCGTCCATCGCCGTGATATCGCTGGAATATTGCTAAAAGCGGCGTAAAACCATACTCACTCTCTACTACTTCAAAGGTGATAAACCATTAACGCACGAATCCCTTCATTTAACTCACATAGCTGAAATACATAGTTGAACCTGACCATGGCCAGCATCGCTTTCCCACCAACCTGATCGTAGACATGTAAAGTGTCACAGAGAATCTATGGCGTGAGCCCACAGGCTTTAACACCACGCTGGAAAATAACATGCGACAAGAAATACGCGTATACACTCAGCGCGTGTATTATGCTTGAAAACACGAATTATATTCAGGGCGAAGCTGGAATTCGATCATACGTTAAGCTGATCCGGACATAGGTAAGGGACAGAACTCTGCACAACGAACTGCAGTTTCTTAGACCACGAGACAGCCAAACCTCCAAGACAAGATTAATTGGAATGTCAAGGGAAAACCGACTGTTCAAAAGAAATAGACGCTAGTTTATTCTGGGCACGCATTGTCAATGCGTGAGTATAATTTTAGAACAAATTACAGAGACAATAACAGAATAATAATGTCCATGAGTAAACAAATGGCTGCCGACATGGTAAACATTTCAAACTCTTTCCAAAATAATATTCAGCTAAACTAAAACAAGCATTTCATGACGTTTTTAATGTGTGACAGTATGTAGCTACAGACATGTTGACAGGCTATAGGCGCCTCCATAACGACAACATGTGTATCTATATCAGCTCTACCTCCACATCAGACACAGGGACACCGACTACTGTCTAAATACTTCAGTCTGGATACAGTACACGTTGTTGCAGTTGGCGGTCACGTTTCCGGATTGAAATTAATGAATGAATGCATCTTATAATTCAATCTCCCTCACTAAAGTCTGGTTCATCAGGAGACCTTACAGCACAAACTATTTTTAGCAACCCAAGCGCAGTTTAATACATGCCATTTGCCAAGATATATGGTGAGGTGAGGTGAAATTAGGTTTAACGTCGTGCTTGAGAATATTTCGCTCATATGACGACGTGCATGCGTGTGTATGTGTATGTGCGGCTGCTTGTAGTAGCCCAGACTTATGCTGGTTTTATAGTGCTAGCCCACTGAGATACAATGCCGCAGTGAAGCATGAATACCCCACTCAGACACATTATAATGACTCCGAGCCGACCAGTCCTTGTTGTACCCATTAATGCCGAGCGCCAGACAGGGACCAACAAGTAGCATATTTTAACGTCTTTTGGTATGACGCGGTCGGGGATCGAAGCCGCGACCTTCCGCTCTCCGGGCGGACGCTCTAACCACTACACCACGGAGGCGGTCTTCAAGATATATGGAGCCAGACAAGAGTGTGTTGTTTCGTATACTTCTATTTGTTTTTAGAAAGTTTGTTCACGTCACTGTGTAAGCTGCAAAAAGAAAACAAAAAATCAAAAAAACCAAAACAGAAAAACAGAGAAAAGCATAAACAATACAGATACAAACAAAACAACAACAAAAAACAGTAAAAATCAGCGTCACTGTTATGATAGGACCAAATATACCAGGCACAGAAGTACCATTGGAGGCCTGTTGTGAAGAATTCTTCATACGACAGGGACGTGAGTGAGTATGGTTTTAAGCATGTCGGAATATTCCAGCAAAATCACGACGGGTGACACCAGAAATTGGCTTCACACATTGTACCCTTGTGGGGAATCGAACCGTGGTCTTCGGCGTGACGAGCGAAGCTTTAACCACAAGGCTACCCCACCGCCCCGGTTTTACACTTATCTAATGAATGTCGCCATAACCGCAGAAAGGAACAGGGGAATTAGACTATCGAGACACGTTAATTGACGTTGGGCGATGCTGATATTTACCAGACAACACTGCGGTTAACCTACACTAAATTATCTAATCGAACAAACGCCATTCACACATCCACCGCGTGTTGAGAGAAGGCAGTGACGTCATAAGGATGGAAGTTGTGGACAAACAAGAAATATGTATATACACAGCTTACGTACCAACATTTAACTGCATCACTGAATAAATGTCACCATGTCGAGTCAATGCGTCATACTCTGTCTATAAGGTTAATGTTCCTTGGTTAAACTGCACCGTATATTAATTGTTGAGATAGTCAACAAGACTCAAGCATATTCCTCCACCATTATTTGATAATGATTCTTTCCCCGTAAGATAATTCTTATCAAGCATACCTATACTTCATGGCGAAAATGCTGTAATAGGGAAATGGGATTATTTTGGAAGTGTTGGACATAATCAGCAATGTAATCGTATCTGTTTATTAAACCCACGCACTGTTCTCTGGAAGGCACCAAACTTTCAAAATGGAAATGTTAGACGACGTTTCATAAAAAACATTACCGGGTTCATTCAATCTTCTGTGGTGGGTGTAACGCATCTTAACCTTCGGTAAATGAGTCTGTTCCGCTTCTTTTTGGTAGATTTCTTTAAAAAAGATTCACTGGAAAACGCATTTAGTATGTTCCGACGTTTTTAAACCCTGACAATGGTATAAAAACAACAATATTTATGAGAATATAAATAACGGCTTCCTTTATTAGAACCATATCGATGCTCATGCTGTTGATCACTAGATGCTGATACAGACTCGATTATTTACAGACCGCCGCCAAATTGCTGGAATATTGTTGAATGCGGCGTAAAACTAAACTTATTGACTATTAGAACCAGAATGCACTACTGTCTCTATTGCAGTCATTATATATTTAATCTCGACCACCTGTACATAATGGAATACTGACTAGACAATCCGGTGATTAATGTCACTGTTTGCAGTAAACTCAGGTTTACAAACACAGGTTTAGAGTAAATATGTAATTATCGTGAATAGTTATGGGATAATATTGGCATTACAGTGCTCATTACCCCTCTTGTAAGGCTGGATTTGTAGGGGTGCACGATGAACTCAGCCCCAACCGCCCACCCTTTAGAGATACATAAGAAGTAGAAGAAAAATAACAAAAAATGTTTGTGTTTTACAAAACTAAATAAATACATAAAATAAAATGCGACAACACAAACACAAACAGCCCAAAACATCTCCAACAAGCAATACCATAAAAAAAGAAGAAATAGCTGAATGGACGAACGGGTAAGTTACAGATTAGTTCTGGGGGTTCAACTAATTGAATGGACGAATCTGGGGGTTCATATAGTTCGGTGGACGAGCGGGACAGTGTCAGATTAGTTCTGGGGGTCCAAACAGGAGAATGGATGAGCAGGTGCGTTTCAGATTAGTTCTGAGGGTTCATATAGTTCGGTGGACGAGCAGGGCAGTGTCAGATTAGTTTTGGAGGTTCATATAGTTCGGTGGACGAGCGGGACAGTGTCAGATTAGTTCTGGGGTCCAAACAGGAGAATGGATGAGCAGGTGCGTGTCAGATTAGTTCTGGGGGTTCATATAGTTCGGTGGACGAACAGGGGCAGTGTCAGATTAGTTCTGGGGGTTCATATAGTTCGGTGGACGAGCGGGACAGTGTCAGTGATCCAAACAGGGAGAATGGATGAGTGGTGCGTGTCAGATTAGTTCTGAGGGTTCATATAGTTCGGTGGACGAACAGGGGCGTGTCAGATTAGTTCTGGGGGTTCATATAGTTCGGTGGACGAGCAGGGCAGTGTCAGATTAGTTTGGGGGGATTCAAACAGCAGAATGGATGAGCAGGTGCGTGTCAGATTAGTTCTGGGGGTTCATATAGTTCGGTGGACGAGCAGGACAGTGTCAGATTAGTTCTGGGTGTTCATATAGTTCGGTGGACGAGCAGGGCAGTGTCAAATTAGTCCTGGGGTTCAAACAGCAGAATGGATGAGCAGGTGCGTGTCAGATTAGTTCTGAGGGTTCATATAGTTCGGTGGACGAACAGGGGCGTGTCAGATTAGTTCTGGGGGTTCATATAGTTCGGTGGACGAGCAGGGCAGTGTCAGATTAGTTCTGGGGGTTCATATAGTTCGGTGGACGAGCAGGACAGTGTCAGATTTGTTCTGGGGTCCAAACAGGAGAATGGATGAGCTAGTTCAGATTAGTTCTGAGGGTTCATATAGTTCAGTGGGAACAGGGGCGGCCAGATTAGTTCTGGGGGTTCATATAGTTCGGTGGACGAGCAGGGCAGTGTCAGATTAGTTTGGGGGGATTCAAACAGCAGAATGGATGAGCAGGTGCGTGTCAGATTAGTTCTGGGGTTCATATAGTTCGGTGGACGAGCAGGACAGTGTCAGATTAGTTCTGGGTGTTCATATAGTTCGGTGGACGAGCAGGGCAGTGTCAAATTAGTTCGGGGGGGTTCAAACAGGAGAATGGATGAGCAGGTGCGTGTCAGATTAGTTCTGAGGGTTCATATAGTTCGGTGGACGAACAGGGCGTGTCAGATTAGTTCTGGGGGTTCATATAGTTCGGTGGACGAGCAGGGCAGTGTCAGATTAGTTCTGGGGGTTCATATAGTTCGGTGGACGAGCAGGGCAGTGTCAGATTAGTTGGGGGTTCAAACAGCAGAATGGATGAGCAGGTGCGTGTCAGATTAGTTCTGGGTGTTCATATAGTTCGGTGGACGAGGCAGGACAGTGTGTCAGATTAGTTCTGGGGTCCAAACAGCAGAATGGATGAGCAGGTGCGTGTCAGATTAGTTCTGGTTGTTCATATAGTGCAATGGACGAGCAGGGCAGTGTCAGATTAGTTCTGGAGGTTCATATAGTTCGGTGGACGAGCGGGACAGTGTCAGATTAGTTCTGGGGGTCCAAACAGGAGAATGGATGAGCAGGTGCGTGTCAGATTAGTTCTGGGGGTTCATATAGTTCGGTGGACGAGCAGGGCAGTGTCAGATTAGTTCTGGGGGTTCATATATTTCGGTGGACGAGCAGGACAGTGTCAGATTAATTCCGGGATCCAAACAGGAGAATGGATGAGCTGGTGCGTGTCAGATTAGTTCTGAGGGTTCATATAGTTCGGTGGACGAACAGGGGCGTGTCAGATTAGTTCTGGGGTTCATATAGTTCGGTGGACGAGCAGGGCAGTGTCAGATTAGTTTGGGGGTTCAAACAGCAGAATGGATGAGCAGGTGCGTGTCAGATTAGTTCTGGGTGTTCATATAGTTCGGTGGACAAGCAGGGCAGTGTCAGATTAGTTCTGGGGTCCAAACAGCAGAATGGATGAGCAGGTGCGTGTCAGATTAGTTCTGGGGGTTCATATAGTTCGGTGGACGAGCAGGGCAGTGTCAGATTAGTTCTGGAGGTTCATATAGTTCGGTGGACGAGCAGGACAGTGTCAGATTAGTTCTGGGGTCCAAACAGGAGAATGGATGAGCTGGTGCGTGTCAGATTAGTTCTGGGGTTCATATAGTTCGGTGGACGAGCAGGGCAGTGTCAGATTAGTTCTGGGGGTTCATATATTTCGGTGGACGAGCGGGACAGTGTCAGATTAATTCCGGGATCCAAACAGGAGAATGGATGAGCTGGTGCGTGTCAGATTAGTTCTGAGGGTTCATATAGTTCGGTGGACGAACAGGGGCGTGTCAGATTAGTTCTGGGGGTTCATATAGTTCGGTGGACGAGCAGGGCAGTGTCAGATTAGTTTGGGGGTTCAAACAGCAGAATGGATGAGCAGGTGCGTGTCAGATTAGTTCTGGGGGTTCATATAGTTCGGTGGACGAGCGGGACAGTGTCAGATTAGTTCTGGGTGTTCATATAGTTCGGTGGACGAGCAGGGCAGTGTCAAATTAGTTTGGGGGTTCAAACAGCAGAATGGATGAGCAGGTGCGTGTCAGATTAGTTCTGAGGGTTCATATAGTTCGGTGGACGAGCAGGGCAGTGTCAGATTAGTTCTGGGGTCCAAACAGGAGAATGGATGAGCTGGTGCGTGTCAGATTAGTTCTGGGGGTTCATATAGTTCGGTGGACGAGCAGGGCAGTGTCAGATTAGTTCTGGGGGTGCATATAGCGGAATGGATGAGCAGGTGCGTGTCAGATTAGTTCTGGGGGTTCATATAGTTTGGAGGACGAGCAGGGCAGTGTCAGATTAGTTCTTGGGGTTCATATAGTTCGGTGGACAAGCAGGGCAGTGTCAGATTAGTTCTGGGGATTCAAACAGGAGAATGGATGAGCAGGTGCGTGTCAGATTAGTTTTGGGGGTTCATATAGTTCGGTGGACGAGCAGGGCAGTGTCAGATAAGTTTGGGGCGGAATGGGCGAACCGCGAGTTTCAGATTAGTTCCGGGGGTTAAAATAATAAGTGAATGGACGAACGGGTGGTGAATATATTGAGGTTCAAACTGTTTAATTCAGATATTCAGGAAAGGATCCCAACATTGTGTAGCTAGGGCCAAATAAAGACGACATGGGCGGGTAAGTCTCTCATAAATTTTAAGGGCACGGCCACATGCGTTTTTGTATAAGTGATTCATGGCGTGAACAATACTGAAATACAATACACAGGCGTCGAACAAACACAGACGTGATAAATTTCAATATAAAAAACAATTTAACAGCATATGTATGACGCGGCTTGCAACGGAGACAAGGGAGGGGTCGGTCAACACGGGACGGGTTTTTCTCACAGTGTTACTGATCCGTTATTGTTCTTTAACAGATTAAAGATTAATGCTTCAAGAGGTTAATTGGTGAGTGGTATATTTTTACGCCGCTTTTAGCAATATTCCAGCAATATCCACGGGCTTCACACATTTATATGTTGAATCAAACCCGGGTTCGTGACGAATAGGGTGCTTTAACCGTTAGGCTACCACCGCTCCCCAAAGGTTAGCAGTTTACATGCCAGAGTCAAGTACAAATTCGAAGTATACCATTCGATACTACCCGTGAAGATCTGGGTCAATATGTCAATTGATCTGCAGCAACCCGTGCTTGTTGCAAAAAGGCGACTGACGGGATCAGGTGGATCCAGACTCGCTGACATTCGTTGACATGTGTGAATCATATATACTAATTATTGTAGATCGATGCTCATGCTGTTGATCACTGGATTGTCCTGGTCGAGACTGGATTATTAACTTGACCGCCGCCATATAGCTGGAATATTGCTGAAGTGCGGCGTAAAACTAAACTGCAACGGAGACAAGGGAGGGTCGGTCAACACGGGAAGGGTTTTCTCACAGTGTTACTGATCCCAATATTAAACGTGCCCCACTCCCAACTAGTCTCACAGTCCCTGAATCACATTATTTTCCCTACTGCCCAGCCCTCTCTGCAATGCAAAAGCCGTAAATGAAGCAAGTCTGGATTTCCTCAGATTCTGAACCCCCATCACACCGGGGCTCCTTTTCAGTTTAAAAGGAATTGTTTGTTTTATCAAAACTATATATATTCAGAGACTAAGCGTTAGTCTATCCCAACTGGGTGTACATCTGTATGGTAGACGTGATAGAGTCTACCATAGGTGTGGACCGAGGTGTTCGCTGCAACGGTTATTGTTCTTTAACAGAGTAAAGATTATGCTTCAAACAGGTTAGTGAGTGAGTGAGTATAGTTTTACGCCGCTTTTAGCAATATTCCAGCAATGTCACGGCGGGGTCTATACCACCTCGGATTCGTGTATATCTGGCTTGCGATATGTGTTACTTCCTCTTCGGATATCGGCATAGGCTTCGCGCGATAGCTTGGTTCCGGCCATTTTGTTGTGTTCTATACCTTTGTACCTAGTGTTGGATAGTCTATTGGGAAGCACCAAGGACAAAGAATGCAAACAAAAAGTGGTCCAAAACCTCAAATGCAGTTTTGTGCAAAACACTAATTTTTGGGAGGACTCTGCCAGCCGAATTGACTAGTTTGGAGCTTATAGGCTTGGTGCACCTATGCGGTCCCGTTCCCCAATTCCCTATACTACTGTGATTAGTCCTTGGATGTGCTATAGCTAATGGTTATAGGTTCTTGGGCGTGCTGGGGCGGTGGGGTAGTCCAGTGGTTAAAGCGTTCGCTCGTCATGCTGAAGACCCGGGTTCGATTCCCCACGTGGGTACAATGAGTGAAGCCCATTTCTGGTGTCCCCACGCCGTAATATTGCTGGAATATTGCTAAAAGCGGCGTAAAATCACACTCACTCACTCACTCTTGGGCGTGCTATAACTAATGGTGGTCAGTCCTTGGATGTGCTGTAGCTAGCCTTCAGATGTGCTATAGTTAATGGTTGTCAGTCCTTGGATGTGCTGTAGCTAGCCTTCAGATGTGCTATAGTTAATTGTTGTCAGCCCTTAGATTGATTGATTGTTGTTTTACGCCGCACTCAGCAATATTCCAGCTACATGGCGACGGTCTGTAAATAATAGAGTCTGGACCAGACAATCCAGTGACAGCATGAGCATTGGTCTACGCAACTGGGATACGATGACATGTGTAAATCAAGTCGGCGAACCTGACCACCCGATCCCGTTAGTCGCCTCCTACGACAAGCATGGGTTGCTGGAGACACAACACGTGGATACAGGCAGATCTAGTAGCCATCATCGACGTCATTGTGGTGGACGATGTATGTGATGTTACAGTTGCAGTACCGGCTGGAGTAACGGCTTTAAAACGGTATTGAGTGGCTGTTCAATATATCGCGACGAACGGTAATTAATCGATCATGAATGATCCAGTTAGTCGCCTCCAACGACAAGCATGGGTGAGTGAGTGAGTGAGTGAGTGAGTGAGTGAGTGAGTGAGTGAGTGAGTTATTATTTAACGTCACATCGGCAATATTTCAGCCATATCGTGACGAGAACACTTGACATTGAAATAGAATATATATAGAGATTATAAAAACCTGCCGACAAAGGACAGTAAAGCAACTAGAGTATCACAGATATACATGTAAAACTAGTAATTGAATCTAAAACATTTTAACTATAGAGGACAACACAATATAAAAATAGGCTATAGATCACCAACAACTGAAGGTAGATCACCATACTAGGGTCCATGGGGACTTACAGTACTTTTGCTACCTGCATGGGCCCTAGCTGGATTTATACCATCCCTTCAGCCGCTGGCGATTGAAGTCAAATTTAGCCAAAATTAAAATGACAGAAATGCTACATTTAAAACAGCTGGTGAATTTAAATTTCCTTTGAAAGTTTTGGGACTTACGTACCCTGACAAGCATTGGTTACTGACGACCAATTCCAACCAGGATCTTCACGGTTGTCTGTCATTAGACGTGCAATAGCTAATTTCTGTCAGTATTTGGACGTTGACAGAGGCGGCAGGACATGACATACATTGTCCTTTTATTTTCTAACGTAGTACTGATAAAGAATATGCAAGGAATAACGTGGAACCGAAACAGTAATGTCCATTTAAAAACAACAACTGAAAATCTTAGTAGACGGTGGAAATACATCATAAGTAATGGTGAAACAAAAAATAAACAATTTACTCCAGAATAAGGAAACAAGGTTTTTCAGCCTAATTCAACCATCATGAAATACCTGCTACACGTGTTTAACGTGACAAAAGATTGCACGTAGCGTTGTCGCGTGACTAATGTCAGTGAATTGCATAAGCCCAGAGCGATTTGTTACAGGGCGACAGCGACAAGGACCGGCGTATACAAATGCAGCGTGACATCTACTTCTGCGATAGAGGTGGTGTATTTGCCAGGCGTACGTGACAAGGAGGTCGCACAAGGTGTCACGCCACGACCTCAACGTTCCCACCAGCTTCTATATTTGTCGACCATATGTAGGGAACATCGTATCTGCCGAAATGCAGTTTAGGATGACACGGCTGTTTTTCTTCTGTCTTTGTGAATCATTTCCATCATTTTTTCGTGAATAAATTACAGCTATTTGTTACTGTCGAGAGTCGAGTAAAACGGTTCACCGCACCAGCAGGGGACATATGCAGAAGTCGTTGAAGACGATTGTTGTACGTAGGAAGCACATATTTTATGTTCATTCACAACAGGTAAACTTTGACACCTAACTTTGACAAAAAAGGTAACGTAAGATTCCAGAAATTCCAACCCTGTCCTACGCGGAAGGACCCGTGGAGACCCAGGTTAGAATTGATCTTCAGTAGCCCATGCTTGTTGTAAGAGGCGACTAACGGGATCGGGTGGTCAGGATCGCTGACTTGGTTGACACATGTCAACGTATCCCAGTTGTGTAGATCGATGCTCATGATGTTGATCACTGGATTGTCTGGTCCAGACTCGATTATTTACAGACCGTCGCCATATAGCTGGAATATTGCTGAGTGCGGCGAAAACTAAATCGTTGGCTGTTAATATATATCCTGAACGCGTTTCATAAAACAGCTGTACGTGTCTTTATGTACAGTCTTTAAAAATACAAGTATTGAAGAATCGGTGATTTCTACTCAGAACAACATGCCGAGACTCTCTTCAACAACACCCACGATTGCAGTACCATTATTGCCTCATTCTACGTGCCTGTATATGTATTATGTCAACGATGGTGTTCACATTACGTCAACAATACACAGGGGATCAGTGTTACACATACATAATTAAATATTATTTCAACTAAATGGATAATGCAGATCTTGACTGTGAAAAAGTATGACTGAATTGATCTACTCTGATTTACTGAGGCGGTGGGGTAGCCTAGTGGTTAAAGCGTTCGGTCGTCACGCTGAAGACCCGGGTTCGAATCCCCGCATGAATACAAAGTGTGAAGCCCATTTCTAGTGTCCCCAGAATATTGCTGGAATATTGCTAAAAGCGGCGTAAAATTAAATTCACTCACACACTCTGATTTTCTGTGATGTGCAGCGATAGTAAGGCAATCGTTGTTTGTGAAACCCGGAGCACGACGTGAAACCCAATTCACCCCCGGAAGTACGTCCCAATTATCAAGGTTGACTAAGACACGATTAAGCCAATTTATACAAATTCGCCCCGTGTTTGATACGGTTTAGGTCGTTGAAGGTAGTCTAGTGGTTAAAGCGTTGGCTCGTCAAGCTGAGCGCCCGTGTTCAATTCTACACATAGGTACATAGGGGTGGCCTATCGGTGTCCTCGTCTACATATTGCTGGAATGTTGTTCAAGCGGCGTAAAACAATACTCACTCACATAATTAACACGCTGTCACTACAAAGTTTCTGTATCAGCTGTCCGAACCCTGTTACTCAGTCTCTCACGAAAATTTCCCTCAACAAACTGTTCCTCAAATTATATTTCCTTTGTTTAAACAGTTGTCCGTTCAAAGGTTAGGTTGGCAAACACAGAGACCTGCCCGGATGGCGAAAGCTAACAAGAGGTTGTAAGCTCCTCACATCACGTCAACTAGTCTGCGTATGTGCATGCGCTGCGTCAAGTCAATGCAGACTGTTGCGAGCACAGATCAACACAAGTGTGCAGTCACCTCGCACAATTTGATCACAAACACCAGTTGGCACTTGCTCCTTCGACCGCCCTCTTTAATATTCACGGGTAGTCATTTAACTCTCTCCGGGTAACCAGTTCACTAAAAACGCTGTCGCGAGTCACGTAGCGCGAGACCAAGGCGTGACGTCACGACCTCCTGACCCTGAACAAGGCCGTGGAAAGGTGTGAGACAGGTGACCCGTCCTGAAACAGTAAATATGCTTGTTAGTTCAGTGTAGCTTTGTTTACGACCACATGGTTGGTACACTGAGCGATCGCCTTGTATCTGCTGTTTAGAGTAATTACACGGACGATGATCTTTGCCAACAAAAAACCCCAACAAACAAACAAAACAAAAAATCAAAAACGAAAACAAACCCAAAACAGAAATAAATAAAAGCAAAGCAAAAACATCCGCGACACCTGGACGTATATATATTCACTACCAATGTGAATTTTCAGGACTTGGGCTGTTTGGGTCCTTTTAATATTACAGCTTTCTCAGAAAGGGGTGCATACTATTGAGAAAAGGGAGGGTGCACATTTCATTTTCACCCGAGTTTCAATGGTCATTTAAGAAACTTTCAGGACTAAAGGGGGGGGGGGGTGGTGCGCACCCCTGCACCCCCCTTCTGGATCCGCCTATGTAGGGTGTGTGGGGTAGCCTAGTGGTTAAAGACCCGGGTTCGATTCCCCACATGGGCACAATGTGTGACGCCCATTTCTAGTGTCCCCCGCCGTGATATTGCTGGAATATTGCTAAAAGCGGAATAAAACTAAACTCACTCGCTCATATCATTGATGCTTATGATTTCGACATGCATCTGTAACCCGTACTGGTGTCAGAACGATTTAAAAAAATATTTACACAAAAATAAAGTGTATTCCGCTGAGGCTTCAACGCCTTTTTACATGTTATGTTTTTCAGGATAAACGGACGGGCAATAGAAAGCATACAGTTGAAAATTAGGTTTGAACAAAAATATCACAAGCATTATTCAAATGCCACAAGCCAAAGAAAATGTCACCAAAACACCTAAAAAGAACGTGCACACACATGCCGATGGCTGCTGGATTTGAAACAAACCAGAGCTGGTTATTCAATGGTGATGCACTCGAAAGGGGCATCTGAGTTGTGTTTTGAAACAGTTTGCAGTGCCTCGGCGATTGTCTTCAGCAAAATAAAGTTTTGATAGGTTCCTAATTCTTTTGGCAAATCCAAGTGTCATGTGGATACTTCTCTTTTAGCACTAAAATAACTCAACTAAGTTGAAGACAACAATCTATGGGTGTCAAGTTCTTTATTTTGAGGAGAAATTATATTTGAAGGAGTAAGAACTCACTCCGAAACGTCGTGTTCCTCAAATTAGAAGTTGCGTCCGTAACTTCTTTGCCTGGAAGGAGTAAGAATGTACCCCGAAATGTCGTTTT